CGCTTTTGATTGTCTTTACGTGAAGTCCTATCTGTTTTGAATGTCGCCTAGTATTATCATTTTGAGCAACCTAAGTTGAGTCAAGAGCCACCCAAATAGAGGTCCATAGCCTCCTGGACCATAGGCATGGGACGGGTAGTGCACGCATAGGGTTATACGATTTAGAATTGATTTAGAGAGCCTTTAAGTAAACAACTTCAACATAGCAATTGGGTAGCAGTAGATGATAGTTTGTGCCCGCTGAATAATATGAGCAACCCCTACCTTAAGGGAGTTGCGAAGTATTATTTATGTTGCACGGGGTGATCCACTAGGCTAAAAAACTTAGGACCCCCTTTCCTTTATGTACTTGTCATCTACACTTAGTCGTTTAATATAGACCAATGTAGTTGTATCATTGTAGTCATTAAGATTTGTACTAATTCCTGTGTGTTATAATAAAACTCTTCAATTGTTATATTTTTGTTTACTTGATCACCTAGCCTAATTACCTAATCCACATAGTTTTAAGTTCGGCCGGGATCCACAGTTGTGGACCGCGAAGAGTGCCTAACACCTTCTCTTTAAGGTAATTTGAGCCTTTACCCGATCTTTGGTGATGTTGACTAGTCAAAAAGAGTTATTTGCATAATAGGTGCCCTAACGCACCTTAAATATCGTTAGGTGGCAACTCTTCTCTTTTAATACCTCCTTCTTTAAAAGAGTTGTCACACGTCGAAGCTCACTTTCGCTAAAAATGGGGAGCGACAGTATCTCGAGAGCCATCTCGCTCATATAACGCCACAAGCTACACATGATTAAAAAGTATAATCAAGTCATCTCAACACCCATATGGCATAATATAGTAATACATGGAATAGATGATGATAGGAATAACATCCAACGCCCGAAGACTCATCCATAAACAATGTTATGCTGAATAAGCATATCTGATCTAGTGTAGAATATACATTCACATTAGGTCTACCAACGGACATCAAAGCCGATTCCGATCACCCAAAATAGGTCAATAACCTTTCAGAAATCCACAATCACCCTATCTATGACACATACGATCGGTCATCAAATCAAGAACAAACTTCTACAGTCCGCAACCAAAGGAATAGAGTGTCTCTCAGACATAAACTCTCCAATCAGCTCTGTAGTAGAATCTTCACACCTGATTTCAATCTCTACCACTTAAATGAATGACACGTCACACTTATATGATCATATCATGGGAGATAGTCCCACAACCTTCCGCACCAGGTAGAAAAATATGAACATTAATGGCCACCGACCATGCTATTTCTATAGTGCTAGTCAAGCATCCACAAATCAATACCCAATTTTTCTTCCACAAAACAGACCATCCTCAGACGGCCCGAAAATAGTGCCTGCATACTCAGAACATCTGAAATCCTCCCTCACTCCTCTGAGCTCGTGACATCCCTGTCAAAAATGAAATGCAACCTTGATCCTTCAATTCAAATTCCACACCGCTCACTGAACTTAACATGCTAACACGCGAGAGTGCAAAATCCCATCATAAATATAGAACCACCGTGGGAAGAAACACTACATCGTCTAGAACCTTTCGCTTAACTCATTTTAGGAGAAGGAATCGTGGCACGCAACCAACTTCCCATAACCATAGAACACATCAATCTCAAATCATGGTCGAAACTGTCATAGTCTTTTTGAGACCCGTTTGCACATACCCAAACCGTCAGGATTAAATTCCTCCAAATCAACAAAATTAGTGAGACTGCCAAGCCTGCTAGTATAGCCACGAAACACCCGTATAGCCTTATCGTACTGAAGTAATTGATCGTTTCCTTTACTATGCCGATCCAAATTGTTGCTAAACTAACTTAGCTCCTCAGTTCTCTCTTGACTTACCTTCATAACAAGTAACTCTCCTTTCCAGCACAAGATGGACCTCAATCGGCACTCCTCCCGAGTGACCCTAAACTGCAGACCACATTGCCACAATACCCGTATGTAACTTTATACTCACCTCAAGCACTCAATAGTATCTCCAACTGATACTCCTGTTCTGAAAGATCTTTTGCGAATCCGAAGTTGTTTCTTCCATCTCTCTAACACCGCATTACATACCCGGTGGAATTCATAGAAATGCTCAAGTCTCCTTCACACTCCGCTGCAAAACTAAATCCTCAGCCACATAACGAATTCGAAAATCCTTCGGCACTACACTTTAATTCTTGAACCCACTAGAACCATTGTTGAGAGTTGCTCACTGTAAACCAGTCACGATTATATAACCAAACAACTAGTGCTCTGTTAGCACTCAAATACTCCAAAGGAGAAACCGAATGAATCCTTTTCCTTGCACATCACCACCACAAAGAAATACCCGATCTGATTATTCCATAACCTTCACATATCAATAAGGTGAACTATAGCACACATCCATCAAATTCCTTGCTCGAATTACCCGTGATGTTCTCTTCCTTGGTCATAACTAATCTGCCAATGTACCGCTAACCAAAAACTGCAAGGGAACATAACCACTTGACCCAATCATCGACGGTAATCTCCCCCACTTGGCTTTAAGCCACCATTGCAAAATCCAAGGACCTACAATGACTTGTCCTCCTAGCTACCATGATCTCACACTATTACGCAGCCAAATTTCTCATAAGTTCTTGTTGCACTAATCATAACACATCCCGAATCATCAGCGACAATGGCACACTCGACCTCCTGACAGTCGTACTATCTTCTTCAAGCAATCCAAGCTCACATCGTAGTATATGCATCCCATTGGATAGAAGGTAGAACTCTTTACAGGAACGTTATCAAAAGTGATGCAACCCCTAACCCTCTCACAGGAGATAGCTCACATGTGTAACCTCATACCGACATCCTCCAATGGCATAGCCATAGCCATATCCATTATGAAATCAGTTAATTATCCTAAGTCCACACTCATCCATCATCTGTAATAATCCGTTCAAATTAGCATTAACTGAAGGTCCAACAATACATTTATAACTCAAAGCTATATTGCATCCCCAAACGATAATTCAGCATTCACATTCCTCTGCATCCTAAGAAACTCTTTTCGTCACATTCAAGCATCCTAATTACAAAAACCACCACCTCAAACGAAATACACAGACTGGGTCATTTGTCCACCATGGCTCAAATCGCCCTAGGCTTTCTCAGATCATGTGGATATCCTACCACAAAATTCAATACAATACGCTACCACTACCACTCCGGTTAAACCATCTTCCTAAGAAAACTACTCGATCTCTGCTGCTCATACTTGACATGCCAGTAATCCAACCACCTCGAGACATATCCTACCATGTCTCTTCTCACCATTCGCTGTCAGTCATGCCGCTCCATATCACGATCCATCTTCATAGCACCTGAACAAATAGATTGCAATCAACTTTAAGCCTCCTTAAGATTATCTTCCTCGATCCATCAACACTAGAAACACCGATTCGACCCTGAAGCCGCCACACAACGCCATCTATGATAACCGCTTCTTAGGTACCATTTCGCAGCACCTTACCCCGAAGGCAAACCAATGAAGACTATCATACTGACGAACCTTAATGCATTCAAACAAGGACGACGACACCATATCACAAACAAGAATTCCACCATTTTAGAAATATCCAATCTCGTTACTCCGTAAACAAAAACCTGAATATCCATAGTCCAATTACCTCTCCTTCGCTGGAATTAAATGACGAATATCTAAACCATGAACCGAATAATCCTCCTCTCAAGTCATTCACCTCCGCGACATATAAGTAAGCACCCTACCATTTACACAAGCACTACGCAATAACAACGCAGGAACATTACAATACACTGTGCATAGCCTCGAAACCATAGAAAACACTAACAATGGGCTGAAATGATAGAACACCCCTCCATAAGGCAACGATAATTGTCTGCCCACATACGCAAGGAAAAACATCCTGCACCACATTTGTAGCAGCTTCATGACTCACCGATGCCCAACTGATATCGAGTGCTTGACATCGTGTACGAATGAGTAGAAGGAACTGAAGGCATAAGCCTCAACTAAATCAAATCCCACGACAAGGAATCAAGAAAGGGAAATTCTCCTAACAGTCATGTAGTATCTCGAAGATAAGTACAGACGTCTTTGTACCGATCCGCAAGACTTTACTAGACTTGCTCATGACTCATGAGACCCAAGTAAACCTAGCGCTCTGATACCAAACTGTCACGACCCAAATCCCACTATAGGCTGTGATGGCGCCTAACACTATCATTAGGCAAGCCAACCATGAAATCAACACTAATAGATAATCTACATGCATCTCGAAATAAATAATGAAATAAATAACTGAAGTTGTTCGTTTTCATAAGAAAGTGTTGATGTTATTAATTTAACTATTCAAACGTGGTCAAAATATAAACCAAGAACATAACCTAAATTCCCAAAATCCGGTGTCACAAGTGCATGAGCATCTATTAGGAAGTACAATACTAATACAACGTCTGTCGGGAACATGCAATAGACAGGATAAAATAAATGAATATGATGGAGACTCCATGTGCTGCGGATTGTAACATGCAATGCAGTCATTAAAGTCCCCTTAGCAGCTACGCATATGAACTAAGATGACCACCAAATGAACCTGCCTTAATGCTTGCACAATTAGTGCAGAAGTGTAGCATGAGTACGTAAATCAATGCGTACCTAGTAAGTATCTAGCCTAATCCCGAAGAAGTAGTGATGAGGGATCGACATCGACACTTACTAGTAGTCCAATAAATCAGGTATAATCACTACAAGAATTTTGATTTTTAACGACCATTTTTTAACGAAGGGGTATGAATTTGGTCGTTATAGATGTATCAATAACGATCACATTTTTTTCCGGTCGTTAAAGTTAATTTTTAGTTTAATATTAACAAAGGGATAATATTCGATCCTTAAAAGTTATAAATCCGGTCATTAAAAATAAAAATAGTAAGAAAAAATAACGCTAACCTTTCCGATTTTTCCCCCAACTCACGATCAGCTCACCCTGCACGTCACTTTCCCCTCTTTGTTTGCCCAACCCACAATTTTCCAAACCCACTTTTCTTTCTTTCCCAACCCACAGTTCTCTAAAGCATCAGACTTTGTGTTCCTCTCTGCAACCTAGGATTTCATTCTTTCTTCTTCTCAAGGTAAGCTCTAAACTTGCAGTAATATTGTGAAATTGGTTACTTTTTTTTTTTTATATTCCAATTATCTCTGTTTTTTAGGTATTGGTTCTTCTTCTAATTACATGTTCAACAATTTTACAATTATATGTCAATTTGTAAGAACATTCGCCCTAGAAACTTGAATTGGCCGAAGAGAAAAAAAGTGACGATGGGGTTATAGAACTCTTATTGGTGTTGTTGTCTTTTTCAATTCAATAAGCATTACTATTAAAAGGATTGATTGATTTCTTAAACAAATCTTCTGAGATAAAGGTGAAATTTACTCCATTTTTTAATAGGAAAGTAACTTACATTGCTGATGAATGTTAGGAGTTTCTTTATTATTTTTTTTCTTTTTTATTGAATATTGTTCGTTATATGTCAACTATGTGTATTCTCTTGTAGAGCAGATTATTTTTTAATTAGGTTTTATTTTGAGGAAAATCATAGTTTTATCGAGACAATATGTTTCTCATATCTGGTTGTGATTGTATTATAAAATTGTTTTGGTGATATAAGAATTCTCTAACTTCCTCTCTAATTGTACTAATTGGAAGGGGAAAAAAACCATTTTTCTCATTTTTGAATTGAATTTACCTGTTTCCTTGGCCTTCAATGACTATTCATGGTTTATGTATAGCAACGTTCAATCAGAATTATAAGAGTTGTTCAAGTTACTTGGTAAAAGTTCCTGAAGTAATTCACACCATATGCATTTTCTTGCTTCAAAGCTGCAGTCCCGTGAGAAAAACATTTGTGCGGTAGCTTGCAACAATTAAATGAAATAGTTGTCGAAGAGATCACTATAGCAGTATTAGACTTTTGTATGACAAAATCTAATAGCTATTCGCTATGAGCAACCTTTTTCAGTCTAATGTCTAAACCATATCTAGTCTGCTTCCACTCAGAATGGACAAGAACAACTGCAATATATGCATTGCAAACAAAATAGTGTGCATGATAAATAGACTCAATTGTATAATTTGAAGATCATACACTACAATAGAGCTCAAAAGATGACAAAAGTTCAATCGAGAATCAGTATCAGCTGGTTGATCAAAAGGCTTGTTAGAGTTTCCTTGTTCCATTTTAATCTGTCCTCCATCTATCATTACAGAACCTGAATTGCCACCCTGATAAAACACATTCAATGAGAAAATTGTTAGGACTATGCAACTTGTTTTCCATTTATAAATGCACAGATAATGCTCTAAACCTTCAAGCTTGTTGATTCTGCAAATGTCGACTCTACTTCTCTGAGGCGCTCCGCTGTTTTCATGTTTTCCTGATAATTTGAATGAAAACAAACTATTAGTATTGCTGCAGCTCCATATGGTATCAGTAAACAAAATGATCGACAAGGATTAAGCAGGAATGAAAGAAGACATCTCATTTAAGATCTTTAATTTTCACATATTAACAAGGATTTTTGAATCAGTCTTGCAAAATATAATATCATGTCAAGAACGATTATGTGTATAACTCAGTTTCTTCTTCTTTTTCTATCTCTGCTGATTTTTAGACATTTGTAAATGAGTTAAATGTTCATCTTTTTAATCCATCTTTCAAGGGACTTATTCCAATGATACCATCAAAGAACAGTAAACTAATAATACTAGTTTCTCTCAGGGAAGGCACAAAATACTTCACTGTTTATACCCTTGTTTGGTTCTTGTTAGAGGGTATTTACTTGATGGAATTTGGTTCGTCTCATTTAATATAGTGACGTTACCTGTTCTGGTTATAACTCACGTCCAATTTTCTATCTGGTTCATACATTAGCGGACAAATACCAGTATGCAACAATTTTTTATCCCTCATGTCCATTTTGTCATTGCAGTTTTAGTATGTTGAACTCCTTTTTTCTTTTACATGTTGCCCTTATGTTCTGTTGAATCAATTACTTGTCTGGTAGCATCTCTTAGACTTTAAACTTTTTTTGTTTCTTCATGGCAATGGAATCTTCGATATCGGGATGTTAGAGCGCACACTACAATAATTCTGAACTCTAGTAAGCCTCCCCTTTTCTACAGAAGCTATAATAAAGGATCAACTGGAGTTCTTTTGTTAAATTTCACGTTATTATAAGTTATATTCAATGATGTATGCAGTATTTGACATGGATTTCCTTGTATATTTAATGTCACTTCTTGCTAACTTGGTTACTTTAGTATCTGGTATGTCTAGTTCAAACGCCTCCATTTTGACAAAACCATATTGATCCTTAAATAACTTCAGCCAATTCTTGAATTGAATTTGACTTTTATATTATGAAACCAATTCAAGAATCAAGAATAAAAGGTTAATAATGGAAAACAATATTTTCATTTGATGCACACAGTTAAATTTTTATTTTTCTAGTTTATAAGATAAGTTTAATATTTAAAGATACTTGTGAAATATTGTAGGACAAATTTGACAGTGATGATATAAATGATCAACGAGATCATGTCTTGAAACATATGAGAAAGTTATGGAACAATTGGAGAGGAACGATGCACAAGAATATTAAGTCTAAACCATTCCGTTATGCTCTAAAAGATGTGCCAGAGGAGGTAGACAAGAGTGATTGGGAATGGCTAGTCAAGGAGCATTTTCTTACTGAAAAATTTAAGGTATGATTTCATAACTATTTATTAACATTGTCTAATATTAAGTGGCTAACCAGAATTTTGCCGGTATGTTGTTAATTTAGGAGACAAGTACAAGAAACTCGGTCAATAGATCTAAGTTGAGTATGCCTCATCGTACGGGTAGTAAGCCAATTAGGCAGATCATTTATGAATTGGTGAGTACATCTTATAATTCTATTAAGAAACCTCATCTTTGTTACAAAGATTTCTTTGACTTGTTTATTTAAATATGAAGGGAGGTAAAGATGGTAATCCACCAGATGTGGCAACTATTTTTTTTGAGACTCGTAGAAGAAAAACAAGCTTGTCGAACCTGAAACCAATGAGAAATATGTATGTTTATTGATAAATTTCATTTTACATTATTTATTTACCGTGTTGTATTCTTTTGATTAAATTATTATTCATTTTACAGGATAAAATCAAAGAATTGGTGCATACTGAATCGTCTCTTACAAACATTGAGGTTGTAGAACGGTGCTTCGGACCTCAACGAAAGAGCCATGTAGTTGGATTTGGTGGTGGGATAACCGCTAAGGAGTTGAAAGGTGGTAACTCCTCTAAAGTTGTATTGTTGGAAAAGCTGAATGCTACTATAAAAGAAAATGAATCACTAAAAGGACGTTTGGATAGGCTAGAGAGTAAATATGATGAGCTAGGGAGTAAGTACGCACAACTTGCAAAAATAGTGTTTGATCAGCCTTCATCACCATCTTCAAGTGATCAATAGATTGAATCATTTAACAGGTTAGTAGATTGAAAATCCTATTTTACTATGTGATGAAAATATTGCAATGCTCATGTGAATTTTATCCTTATGTCATTAAGGTTTATGAATAAATAAAAACATAGTCAATGAAACACGTGAATTTAAGCAAGAATGAAGTTTCAAATATTATGTACATATGTAGGTTACAATCAGGGGCGGATCCACTTAGTATGTTTTGGTTCACAGGAACCCATTCTCCGACCCAACATTCAGTACTATGCTGTACATAGAGACAGTACTTTAGTTTCTCTAATCCTGTATCCTCGCGTTGCTATAGGAATCTAGATGAGAATTATGAAGAAAAGAAGAAATAGTTTCCAAACTGGGTTTGCAGTTAGCAACTTTGATCTTTGTGTTCTATATTTCCATTTAAGCTTAATTGATCTTGAATTTAGATTGAAAGATTCATTTGATATTGTGCATTTTCCTATATTCTATCTTCTACCCGTTGATCCAATTTATATGCGACATTTTCTGTTTTGGGATGCCCCAAATATGATTTTCAAAAATTCAAAACAATGTTCAACTAATTATTTGAATTTGAACTCTGATGAGATGCTATTCTATCAAACTGACTTTTCAAGAACTATTCAAATACTTTTATCCGGTGGTTAGCGCTGATGTGTCTTAGCAACACTAGTAATTTATACTAGTTATTCTTGTAGTATCAGCTTTAATTTTGTAATTTATACTACAACTATTGTTGTCTAATTATTGAATTTTGTTAGCCTTTTGCAACCCAAAAAACATGGAGCCTTGCCCTTGAGTTGTTATAGTTCAGGTGTTAATCACTTGAAGAAACTGTAGAAAATAATTCATTTCTTTTTTAATGCTTGAGCGGCAAAATTAATATCTATGGTTTCCAATGAATGCTCAGTAACAATCTCAATATCAGCGCCTGGTGTTCTTGTTATCCAGCAGCAGCAAATGTGGTTAGACCACAGGTGGTTAGCGCTGATGTATCTTAGCGACACTAGTAAGGGAACTCTAACCATTCCAAGTTATAGAATGAGCGTAAAGGGTCCAGTAACTAGGATTGCAAGCAATTAAAATTGTGTTCATCCTGAGACGTTCATTTAAGATGTTAATGTTTCTTGTTGGTTTTATGTGAAACAACAAAAATTAATAAGGGTAAGAGAAACGAAATTACTTTATCGGCAATTACTTTCGACAGCAACGTGATTCATTCTTTGGTTCTAAATCTCTCCTATTGGTTATTGGTTTTCTTCTTCTTTTTAATCTGTAGAATTTCATGAAGCTCTATATGGGATTTGCTTCCCAGAAGTCACACTCATTGTGCAGGTTCTAGTGTGACAAGATTGGGTTATGTATAACTATCATTTAGTCTTCTTACTATCATCGTCTTCAGATATAGGAAATTTAATGTGTCGTATTCTTGCTACAATACTATATGTCGTTATGTCATTTGATCTTTGTATTTTTCATTCCTGTTTATAACCATCAGTGTAGCCTTTAATGGATCAATTTTTTTCTTAGTGTTTATCTTGTGACTAATGGCATAAATTTGTTGCTTTAACAGATCAAAAAATTGAAGTCCGAAGAACCTATCCTTGAAGAAAGTGTAAAGCAAGTTGAAGTATAAGAGGTTTTGGTCGTCAGCGATGGTTTTTATCATTACATATATATGCTGCAATTTTACTTTCTCTTTTTAAGGAATTGTTCAAAATGATGCTTGACTCACCTCACTTTATGCTTCAAGTAGCCTCCTGGCTGATTTGCATTATTTTTACTAAGATGGGTTTCTTACGAATTGGATTGGTTTCTGGTAAATATGATACTTTAGTTCTTTGTATTAACAAGATATCAAGTATTTGATTTATTTCCAATGTTGTTGAGCGTGTATGAAAGCATATAAATAATTATTATTTTTCATTTAATTTAAATTTTCTTAATTATATTTATTACATTTTCATATTAGCGTAAAAAAATGTAGTCATTAAAACTCTTTAACGACAGGTTTCTCAAACAGATAAATGACTATTGACGAAGAGAATTTTGGCTGTTAAAAGTGATCATACAATTAACGAAGGGAATATCGGTCGCTAAAAGCATTCGAATTGACTTAATACATTGTTGCCATTAAAGACTTTCAACGACCGGATAAAAAATTAGCGAGGGGAAAATTCTGTCGCTAAAAAGCACGAATAACGACCGGAAATTATGCTGTCGCTAAAGAATCTTTAACGACCGGATTGTAAACCGGTCGTTAACTTATAACGTCGGGACTTTTAACGACCGGCGACGACCGGACTTTTTTCGGTCGTTATCAACTTATAACGACCGGAATTGGACTTTTAACGACCAGATTTCCCCTCGCTAAAGGCCCATTTTCTTGTAGTGAATGGAAGTAAATAGATATGAGGCATAGCAGGTAAAAACGAGGAATATATAAGTGCATAATATGATCCTCAACAGAAGAACAAACACAAGGTCCTCAATAGCTGGACAATACCTCGAATAAAATACGTAATGGTCAATTCCAGATAAAATGTCACATCTCAAGTCAGGATAACTCACGGGTACACTGACTTCTTATCAAATATCACTCACAATTCTGCCGAGGCGAACGACCCGATTCCATAAGAGTAAATGCATGATTTCTTGTCGTGGCGCATGGCCTGATCCCATAATAGTACCCTTGAGGTCGTTCAGTTGTGTACACTGCCGAGGGTCAACCAAAACGAACCATAGATGTATCTCATAATACTGTCGAGGTCGTACGGCCCGATCTATAATAGTACTGCTGAGGCATCCAACCCAATCCTATAGGAATAATGAAACTTGACTGGTCACTAGCCCCACTCACGCATATATGTGTGAGTTATGTAGTTTAAGAGACTCTTCAGATAATTTCGTACAACACAAGAGAAATCTGTATAAGGAAAGTATAATTTCTACTATTAATCAAGTAATTCACCAAATATCTAAAATAACAAGTCTGATACTCTGTGCAAGTCTAGTCTCAGGCAACAATGTAATTAAAGAATTTAAATAGGCAAGAATAACTCAAATATTACAATTAAAGCATGGAGCGAGTCTAAGTCTACCGGACCTAATCAGGATTTCTAGCATACGCATGGACACTCATCACCTCATACGTGCGTAGCTCTCACAACATGTAGCACATAACAATTATAACACCTATAGGGTAATTTCTCCCTCACAAGGTTAGACAAGAGACTTACCTCGCTCCGTAATCCAATAACCAACTCCAGCGCCTCTCTAACACCTCAAACCCAAAGCCAAGCGATCTGAAACTATTCAAAGAATGTGCAAACCAATCAAAACATACTCAAGAATCCATAATTTTCATTTAGAAACAATTCTCAATGCCACAAAAAAGTCAACAAAAGTCAACCCTAGGCTCACGCCTTAATTCCAAAAATTGTCGAAAATAAATATTACCCATAAATATATAGTCTATATTCAGAAAATCATCCAATTTAATCCATAAATTGACCCTCAAATCATGAATTTACCATTTCTCACTTTGGGGCTCAAAACCCCAATTTCTACGATCCAAACAAGGATAAAAATGATACTCAACGGCAACAATCATGCACAAACATCGAAATAAAGGTTATATATTTACCCCCTTGTTGAAATGAGAACTATACCGCAAAAATCACCTCAGACGGAGCTCTAGAACTCAAGATATGCTCGAAATACTAAAATGCTCGATTTGCTAATTTAAAAAACTGCCAGGTAATTTTTGTTCACCGCCTTTACGGGAGACCTTCGCGTTCGCGAAGAGAAATTTTTCACGTTGAAAGGTCAACCCAGAATTCCTTCTTTGCGTTCGCTGCACTGCTCCCGCGCTTGCGAAGAACAAAAGCTCGCACCAGAAACCAGCAATCTTTTCCTATACGGAAATGGGTATAACACTCTCGTACGACCTCAAAATTCGACGATTCTTGTTGCTAAGATTCCGTAATTATGAAGCAGAAAAAGGTCATTTCTCAATATGGTACCCTTTATGCCAAAAGAAACGACGTCGAAAAATCAAATAAGAGCGCGACACAATCCAAACCCATCGAAAACTCATCGGAATCTAACCAAAACTTGCGGACAAGTCCAAAATCATCATATAACTTGTTAAAACTTTTAAATCATGAATCTGAGCTGGTTAAGTCCACTATTTGACTGTGGTCAACTTATTTTCTTATACTTAACTAGTATGCAACTTAAATGTTCAAATCACTCTTAAACATTCCTAGATGATGCCAAATTTTACGTACAAGTTACAAATCACAATACAAAACTATTCCGCGACTAGGAATCCCAAACGGACATCGATAACAATAAAGTCCTTTTCAAATAAAACTTAGGAAATTCTAAATCTTCAAAATGCCAACTTTCCACAATAAGCGCCGAAACGCTCCTGGTCCACCCGAAACTCAATCCAAACATACACCCAAGTATGTAATCACCTTACAAACCTATAGGAACCTTCAAATCCCAATTTTGAGGCCGTTTACTCAAAAGCAAAACCTCAGTCAACTCTTCTAACTTAAGGCTTCCGAATTGAAAATTGTTCATCCAAATCTACTCCGAACTTCTAAAAAATCAAAATCGACTATGCACGCAAGTCATAATAAATAAATTGAATCTACTCAAGGTCTTAAATCGCTGAACGACGTAATAGAGCTCAAAATGGCCGGTTGACTCGTTACACCTTACCTAAGCTTCTACGAGTTATAACTCAATTGTAAAGACTAGAACTTGCAAGTTTTGAAAGAGTAGTATACTGTTTGTTGTTACGTCACTGTTGGCTGGTTGTGAACTTATTTTTAAATTGAGTTCATGGCTGGTGTATGTGAGAAGAGGCTTAATTATGCAATGTTGGTTGTGTTGCTCTATTTGAAAGAAAAGACAAGTCAGAAACGTATTTTAGTAGTCCAAAAAATTAATTTGAGTTGCTGAACTTGTGGGACTATTATGGGGTCAGTTCAAAGTT